TGAAGCAGGTCGTCCGGTTTGCTGCGGTCCTGACTTCTTTGGTTCGTCCCGGCTCTAGTGTTAACCTGTGGGTTCGTCGTGTTACGTCCGTTCGAGGGAGTTATCTGAGCATCAGGACGTGGTGCAGGGTGCGGTCCAATAGCTGCCGCGGTAGGTCCTTCTGGCGTCGGAGGTAGCGAAGGCGGTGCGGCTGCGGGCGTGCATGCTTCTCCTCCCGAGCTGGAGGCACTTGCGCCGAGTGCGTTGTGGAATGCGTCTGTCATCTTTGCTATTTCGTCGGTTCGTAGTTTTGAGAGAAATCTTCGAGCTTCTCCCCTACCTGGCGCGCCAACTGTTGATCCTCAAAATCAAACAAGTACGTATTCGGAGTCTTAAGGGTGAAAGAAGAATCTCTTCTTTAAAGAACGAGCCGACAATTACAAAAATAGACGAGCTAAAAATTTAGAATACGAGCCGAGCCGCAAAGTGCTCTGACAGTTGTATAATATTCTCTGTGAAAACGGTTATCTCGGGATCCCTGTACAATCATTCTTTTTTGCTATTTATAGGATGCAAAAGTAGGGTACACTGTTCATGCGAAATGTCCTTTTTGCCCCTTTGGTCGGTGGAAAACTGTATTGGGCCTTTCTTTGGCTTCTGCTGGGCCACAGGAAAGCATGGGCTTGTTGAAGGGTTTTGGCCCGTTAAGGGGTTTGGGCTCGAGCCCAAAACCCACCATCAACAATCTTGAAAATATCTCAATTTGGGAGAAACCAGTGTTGGCACTACGTATAAACTATGATAGCAATCATTTATTGTTCGAGCATTGCGCTCTTAGTATAATGTTATATATTTTCTACTTAGAAGACAACACAAAACCAATAGCATGTAATCTCAAATAGTGTAATCTCACTTGATTATCTCAAATCGGATGATAACCTATGAACTAGTTCTTTGGGAACAATTCTTGGGTTCACCCCTAGGGGTGAACCCATTTCATTCACCCCTCTTTAATTATCAATCAGAATTTGCCTTGTCATCTAATTAAAAAAAAATAAAACAATTAAATAAAATAATTAAATTAAATTATTAAAAACCTAAAACTAAATTAAATGCATGGGCATTCACCCCCTCTTTCACGTCTCTCTCTCTAAAGTTTCTTTACCGTACAAATAACAAATTTTCTTTCATCAAGCTGAACCATCTTGTATTCAAAATTGTCACCTTTTAACCAAAAGAGAAAAACTTTACCTGGAGCAGCAAAATGTTGGAGTCCTCAGTAACCATTGCCAATAAATCCTTCTCCGGGTTCCACTCAGCTATCTTAATCTAATGAAATTGAACATATCAGAGCCGGTTATTGGCATGTGCAAGTGGTGCATTTGCACCGGGTCCAACAAATTTAAGGTCCAAATTCATAGTTTTTCTATTATTTAATTATTTATTTATGCTGAAATTTTATAAAATATCTATATGTAAAGGTCCTAAAATTCTATTTTAAAAGGTAATATTGAAGCCCAAAATTAATAAACAAAAATAACATGTCCAAATAGCTATAAAATACAAAATAGTTTATGAAATATAACTTTTTGTAAAAAAAAATAAAATAAAAAATATATAACTTTTTTGTTCTTTATCCAAATTTTTTATTAAAGATATGATTTTTTTTTGTATGGCACCGGGTCTTGCCGATGAGTGAGCCGGGCCTGGAACATATATATCCATCTAAATTCCTTTAAATCATAAAAAAGACACGAACTTTGAGCAGAAGTAGAACCAAAACCTGAAAAGGTATGGGCTTGTCGAACTGTAGCTGGAAAGGAATGATATTTTCTTCGTCGTCACTCGCCATTTCCGACATTCCGAGGTTTTTGGGATTAGGGGTTAATATTCTAATTTTCAATTTCTAGCAAAGCTGTAGGAAGTAAGTAACCAGAGAGAAACACTTGAGAAAAAAGCTGTAGAGAGTGGATAAAGGAAAGAAGACGGTGGTCGCCGATCCGCCGGGAGCAGAGAGAGACGCACTAATGACAAACCTGGCGGGCTTTTCTTCCAAATTCCAATAAAAATACCTAACCCGGTTTTTGGTTTAATTTCGGTTCAATTGTCGGTCTGAGATTGAAAACCCGGTTCAGGTTTTGGAGATTTTGACTGGGGTTTAGAACGAAAGTACACCTCTCTGCTGCTTTTTTTCGAGAAGCTCTGACGAAGAAGATGGGTGAAGAAGAAGCAGTAGCCGAAGAAAATGGTGGACTTAAGGTAGAATCAGGAGAACAAAACTCATCCTGGCGTACTATGAGATTTGATGTCTCTCCTTATAGAACGCACCATTTCTCTAAGCAGTTCAGGACCGCTCGAAACCCTTATAATTTCCTCAAGGGTCTTAAATGGTACCCTTTTCTTCTTGTTTCAAATTCACTCTCTTGATTAGGGTTTTGTTCTTTCTCAAAGTTTGTTTTTTTTTCTTCTCCTTAACTTTTGAGGTATTGAATTGTTACTGTTTCTTATATAGGTCACCTGATGGTTCATGTTTCCTTGCAAGCTCTGAGGATAATACACTTAGTCTGTTTCATCTGTAAGTTGAATCATTTCAATTTGAAATATTTTTGTAGCTTTAAGTTTCAATAATTTTGTATGTTTGGGTAGTTTTAGTTCTCTGTTGAATCTTTAGTTTTGCAAATTTGCCCCATCAGGCCACAAGATGGAGGGGATTCTAATGGCTATGGAGTGCCAGTCCCCCTCTTTCACGTCTCTCTCTCTAAAGAAAATGCATGGTGTACTACTTCTACTTTTGCTTTTTGTTTTAATGTGTGTGCAACCTGTTAAGAAGTAAACTCATGTTATGTTCATAACTGTGAAATTCTAGCCGCTTAACACGGCCCATGAATACACATGAAAGAATAGCTATCTTTATATATATAAATCTCTATATTATTTTCACCTTTTTTAAACCCTTTTTTAAACCCAACAATATATCCAACGTCTGTAGATTAGTATTCATTGGTAGATTTTTTTCAAGTGGAATTAGGCCATATAGAACTAGATTTAACAATCTAACCAACTATGTATAATGCTATAAGTTTGGAAGCAATAAAGACATGAACAATCAAACGAAAAATATGCTTATTGGAAAGTATGACATGAATGATATAAGGGCTAGCGGATGTAATTTTAGGGATCAATATCACTGTTGAGGGAGTTATTGGGCCTTAGAGATACAAGGCCCAACCTGAGGAAGGAAGCCCGTCAATGAAGCGGGCCGCGGCCCAAAGGCAGTAAAGCCCAGACGATCTCACCGCCATACGGATCCGCCACGTCATCACACCCAAGGGTAAAATCGGTAAAAGTTGTCAGAGTATGCCCTACTCTGCTGGGCTATAAAAGCAGGACGTCTAGTCCTGTCACATCCATCGAAAATCACGCTGACACGGCAAGAACACGAAGAGCTCGGCAAGGACACGAAGAACTCGGCTAGGATACGAAGAACGATCTCAATCTTAAAGAAGAGAAGCGACCACGAATCTTGTTTAGCTC